CGCCCCCTTCTCTTAAGCTCCTCTACGTGTGTGTTGGTGTTGGTGTGGGGATTAGTGGAAGACATTATTATGACCTGACCTCATGCTTAATAAGGTCACCCTGTATATTTAAGCCTCTCTCTGTCCATGTAATCCAGTTGCCTCTGAAGCTGTCTTGAATAAAGACGAAAGCTAAGGTGCTACGTTGTTTTCTTTTTCCCGTGTGATTTTATCAATATATATATATATATATATATATATATATATATATATATATATATATATATATATATATATATATATATATATATATATATATATATATATATATATATATATATATATATATATATATATATTTATTTATATATATATACATACATACATACATACATACACATACACATTCAACCCTCGCTTTACGCGGTTCCACTTTACACGTTTACGCGGTTCCACTTTACACGTTTACGCGGTACCCTGGCGAACACGGAATGCTCACTTTCCACGGTGCGTGTACCCCTTTACGTGGAAAGCGGCTGTCGGTCCTCTTGCGCCTCGCCATTTTTGGATCCAAACCTCCCGCCATGTTGTGTAAGCGGCGCGAGTAGGTTGCGCAGTGTATGTCTTTGTTGCGTTATCGGTGACGTCATATGACGTAGCGGACTGTGATTGGGCAAAGCATCCTTACCTCCCTCCCTGCTAGCTGTGATTGGTTTAATGTAGTACTATGATGTGCCCCACCGCGGGAGCGTTCAAGCCCCTTGACCTACCGCGTCAGTTACACCCCTCCCGGCTACATCGTGTATATCGGCATCCATTGTTCCATAAGAATGGCTTCCACCGGACCACCACCACCACCACCACAAAGAAACCTTGCATTACCTGGACCCAGCCGCCCTAAGCCAAAGAAGGCACGACGTTCCTTAAGCTACGAAATAAAATATAAGATCATACAAGAGTTGGAGAAAGGAACAAGGCAGGTTGATCTCGCGCGCCAGCATGGTGTTAACGAATCAACTATCAGGACAATTAAGAAGGATGCAGCCAAGATAAAGGAGCACATGAACATCACAAAGTCTACAGGTGCTTCTATGATCAAGTATTTCCACAACCAGGTGCTTCTCAAGACGGAAAAATTACTTGTGAGCTACTTGGTGCGTCAGGCGCGATGGAACATGGCGGTGGACACGCGCTCAGTTAAGGAGTACGCACGTGAACTGTATGCTGCAGTGTCACGAAAGATGGGAATTACAGAGCCCAAACCCTTTAATGCTTCCTCTGGGTGGTTACAGAGGTTTAAGAAGAGAAACAAGATCACCAATATAAACATTGGTGGTGAAGAAGCTAGTGCTGACCGTGTTACGGCTAGGGAATTTCCTCCGTTTTTACGAGAGATTATGGAGGAAGGACAGTACACCGACGACCAGGTGTTTAACATGGACGAATCTGGTCTTTTTTGGAAAAAACTACCCTCCAAGACCTTCGTTGTGAAGAATGCCAGCAAGTGTCGGGGTCGGAAGTTGCAGAAGGAGCGCATCACCGTCCTGTTTACCACCAATGCCTCCGGTACCTGTAAGCTCAAGTTATCGGTGATCCACACAGCACGCAAGCCGCACGCCTACAAGAGCATGGACATGACCAAGCTAAATGTCCACTGGCTGATCGCATGTAAGGTGTGGATGTTCTCTACACTGTCCCTCTCCTGGTTTGATGACTGTTTCGTTCCCGATGTGAAGAAATTCTGTGAGCAACAGAATGCGCCATTCAAGATTTTGTTGCTGCTGGACAACGCACCAGGACACTCGCCCCTAATGTTAGATCGTCACCCCAACGTAAAAGTGGTCTTCCTTCCTCCCAACACTACGTCTATATTACAGCCCACGGACCAAGAGTTAATCTGTAATGTAAAAGCTGCATTCTCTACTAAAAAATTCAAGCTCCTGAACGACTACACCAACACCAGGGAAGAATTGCGTAACCTGAGTGACACCAACACCGATAGCAAGAGCGAAGTACTTTTAAAACAATTCTGGAGAATATTCAACGTCAAGAAAGCAGTGGGCTTCTTGGTGGAGGCATGGGATCAGCTGTCTGTAGCAACTGTTCGTCACGCATGGAGACGTGTTGCAAGGCATTCTGGGCGTTAGGCAGAGTCAATCTGTGACTGGTGAGGTTCAGACTGTTGCAGTAGCAGTGGACCTTGCCAGAGAAGCTGCGCAGAGTGTTACAGCTGCAGGGTTCTCCGAGACCACCAACGACGACATCCTGGAGGTGATAAGGGATCCTGATGTGACTACCGACGACATGGTAGATGATGATGACGTCAGTGAAGAGGCAGGTGGTGCGTCATCCCAAGAAGAACGCCGCTTATCCCATAGTAATGTTAGGGGTGCCATCGAGTGTGTCGAGAAAGCCAAGCTCCTCCTTTCCGACGACCCTGACGCAAACAGGTATGAAATCTTCACTACTCAGCTGTTGCAGACTATGGAGCCGTACATCAAGGTTTATCACGACAACATAAAAACCAGCCGTCAACAAAGCATAACGGAGTTCTTCGCCTGCAACCCACCACAGCCAGCCCAAGCCAGTGATATTGACAGAGGTAGAGACAGTGATGATGACTTTGAGGGATTTGTCAGGGAGGCCCTGACAAGTGTGGATGACAGTGATGGTGACTCACCTGAGGGCCAGTAGCCTGCCCTCTCCCTCGGAACCAGCCTCCATTCCCATACGCCGACCCATCTCTTCTACTAACGTAAGTGTTAACCCCAACCTTTATTTTTCCTAACTTAACCTTTATTTTTCCTAACCTAACCTTTATTTTTCCTAACCTAACCTCTTCTATATTAATTGTGTGTGCATACCATCATAAATTTAAGATAATATTTTTACTACAACATAGTTGTGTGTCGTCAAAAAGTGGAGTTTGGGGGTCAGCCCGGTCTCTATTTCAATTAATCCCATATGTTATGTTGTTCACTTTACAGGTTTCTCACTTTCCGCGGTACCCTGTGGGTTGAATTAACCGCGTAAAGTGAGGGTTCACTGTGTATATATATATATATATATATATATATATATATATATATATATATATATATATATATATATATATATATATATATATATATATATATCTCTTGATAAAATCACACGGGAAAATGGAAACAACGGAGTACCTTAGCTTTCGTCTTTATTCAAGACATCTTCAGAGGCAACTGGATTACATGGACAGAGAGAGGCTTAAATATACAGGGTGACCTAAAAACATGAGGTCAGGTCAAAATGATGACATCCACTAATCCCCACACCAACACACACGTAGAGGAGCTTAAGAGAAGGGTGGTGACGTGACTAGCCAAGTCAGGTCAGAAAAAAGGGACCCACAAAATAACTATCATACATCTAGATCAAAGGTTTTCAAAGCATTTTTAACCTTGGGCCACTGACAAATAAATTTATGTAACATCATATCAGTTTTGAACTGTTGGTGTGGGGATTAGTGGATGTCATCATTTTGACCTGACCTCATGTTTTTAGGTCACCCTGTATATTTAAGCCTTTCTCTGTCCATGTAATCCAGTTGCCTCTGAAGATGTCTTGAATAAGACGAAAGCTAAGGTACTCCGTTGTTTCCATTTTCCCGTGTGATTTTATCAAGATTTATCTTATCCACGTTTTCATTGTGGATTTACATGAAAAAAAAAAAATATATATATATATATATATATATATATATATATATATATATATATATATATATATATATATATATATACACACCTAGACCCCGACTTACGACGGGGTTAGGGACCCAAATCCAGGTCGTAAGTCCGACATGGTTGTAAGTCCGACATAGATAAAAAAAAAAATTTTTTTTAATAAAAAATCTACAATGAAATACAGTACAGTAAAAGTAATGAATAATGATGAATTGATACAGTACAGTGAAAGTAATAAATAATAAGGAATGGATACAGTGTGACTGAGCACTTAACCTTTAATGTAGTCAGCTGAATGCACATGGGGCCCCCATAATTTTCTAATTATACATGGAGACTACATTAACTGGAAACGTTTCAGTATAGAAAATGCGTGTGTCATTTAAAAAAAATTTATTTTTTTATTTATTTTTTTATTTATTTATTTTTTTTTTATCTATATCTGAGACGGTCGTAAGTCCACGTAGTCGTAAGTCGGGGTCTAGGTGTATATATATATATATATATATATATATATATATATATATATATATATATATATATATATATATATATATATATATATATATATATATATATATATATATATATATATATATATATATGTTGGTGGTAATGGCATTATTATTTTTTATTGCTGTTGGTGGTACAGTTTTGTAAGTGTTTGTGGTAGTACAATATTGTTGGTTTTTGTTAGCGATGTTGTGCTCTCAGGGCATTTGAAGACAGTGCACTAGTCCCAGCCATTCAGCTGTGAATTGGGCATGCATCCTTCCCATGCAGCTATTGCCTAAAGATCTGTGATTCAGTTATTTTAGTTGCTGGTTGGGATTTGGGAGGCATAACCTTTCCAATGCCATCTCTCTCTCTTAAATGGCATGGTCTGTTCTGTTCTGTTCTGATAATTACTCTTAGTATCGTATCATTCTCTTTATCTGTGAATTATTTCAATGTTTTCAGAAAAACTGACAAGGCACAAGATAAAAAACATTTTTCTTTGTCCGCTGCACAAGAACACACACCACACCTTGGCAGGTCAGGCAATAGTAGTGAAAAGTTTTGGCAGAAAATTACCATGTGGATCCATTACATTATGTATACAGCATTACATTAGTTCTTTATGCATGTACAATGCATATGTTTTAGGTAATATAGTGTTAAGTAGTTTGATCACACCAACAAGCTTCATGGCAAAGTCTGATTCTAGTGCCAAGGAAAATTGCCAATATTCTGTCTCTGATACAAAATATGCCTTAAAATGTTCATGACACCTTGTTTAGGAATATATAGAAAGTTAGATTTAGTTGGAGAAGATATGGTTTACTTTAGGTTAGCCAGTCTGTTGTCATATGGTGTGGATGTTGGTTTGGCTTCCAACTGGATGGTAGTAATGTGTTACGAAGTTCTCATCCTTCTGAGTGATTACAAATTAAGATGATGTTCACTTATCCAACTGAGAAATGGTGGCATGTAGATGGAGTTCAGTCATCCAGCTCATTCATAGTAGAGTATAGACCATTCAGTTGGGTGACGTATGCAAATGATCTTCAGTCATTCAGTTAGTTGAAGATGACTTGCTGATAAATACATGGGGTTCAGTCATCTAATTGGGTAAGGGCTGCTGCTGCACGACTGACCCAGTGGTGGCATGGGAGGGAGGAAGGCAGGATCAAATCAAGGATATAATTGGAGGAATGTCCTGTGGTGGAGAGTGTGCCACTCCGCTCGCTGGTGCGGTACACAGGGCAGTGGTACATGCCTTTCTCTTCTGCCTGGTCTTCATATTTACAGCTCACACCTGCAGACAACGCTATGAAAATCTTCAGGCAATTTGATGATGTATAAAAATAAGTAGTTTATGAATCAACTTTCTTCCAATTAGTCCAGATTATCGAGAGTTTGTTGGTATTCACTAAGCTGAATCATTCTACTTCAGTATCTGAGTGATGTATTTTTGTGCAAATAAGTTCAGGACAATATACGAGTGTGGCTAATCTAAATAAAACATCAGTTAGCAGAAATGTCATTAACATCTCAGACTCATCAAAATTTGTGAATCATAAGTTATAAGTTCTTGGTTACATATTCCTTCAAAAGATTTTGGTTATGTAACTAATGACAGTATCTTAACAAACTGCTCAAAAATTATTTTAATTTTATGTTCACTTGTAATGAACATTCCCTTTGTGTTTCATGCAAAGAAGTCACGAGTGTTTATTTTTGGTAAGCTCCACTAAGTGTATTAAATATCAATAATATGATTTATTTAAAATTTGACATACCATACCAGTAGTCTTATCTCAAAATCTAAAGGAGTAAAGATTTTCTTTTTGCTGTGAATAAAGTTGTCACCAAGATATATTTGCCGATATAAACTAAAACGTATACGTATACCACTTAATTTACATTTAAATCCACTGAGAACAGGAATAACTGGTGTATAAAAATAATCCAGTCATTTAACAATTTGCAGAAAAAAATTGTCTACTGTATTCTAGGTTATATCCATTCAATAGTTTCAAATAGTTTGAAATCTAGGTTTTATTATAAAGTACATAAACCAAATTTCATTTTGTAAATAGTATACTGACATATCATTACTTTTGACATGGAGCAATTTTCAGGTACCCATAAAATCTTAACCAATGATATGGTTAAATCACCTTGATGAGAATACCTGATCTGACTCAGTGATAAAGAAAATTAAATTGAACATGTAGGGCAAGGTAAAGGAATGAGTAAAGAGAAGGTGTGTTGGGGGCACATACCCTCATGGTGTGACATGTCTGGGAGGGCAGCAGGTTGGAAAAGGATGATAGGTAACTGGTCATGTAGCTGCTTGGCTGACATCTCCGCCAAGCAATGTTGTTCACGATCCCAGCGTGCACCTTCCAGGAAGAAGCCCTGCACAAGAGCACATTGGTATTAAGGGGCTGCATGTTGGGTGTAGAAAACTCTTCTGCCATACTGCTTTGTCTGTCATACTGGAATGACATGGGTATAACCCAATTGACTGTTTGACATATCATGCATACTGATCTTGGTTATTTTACCTGACCTATAATATACCTGCCCAGGCAACCTCACTTGCCTGGTATTCTAACAAAGATGCCCTCACTTGTCTTTGTCCTGCTTATTAGGTGTATAGCTTAAATATCTAAATCCTCTCCCAGCTTTGCGCAGTGGCAATATCGTAACCAATGAGTTTTATCCAAGGTGTGTTACTGTGTAAAGCTCGACTATCTGCTAATACTATTGGGAAAAATTTATCCAGCAATCAACCCTACCCTTATTATTAAGAGCCCAACCCCTGAACCCCTACTTATTCTATTCTAATATTATTTTCTAATCTATCATCCTACTAACCCATGTGTAGGTGCCTCCCTGTGCTTGGCGAGGGATGACCTGGTAGATGACGTCATCAGATTCATGACTTTGGCTCTGTGAGTCATTCTCGTTGTCTTCCTTTTCCTGCTGTTCAGTTGGGACTTTCACCGTCTGGAAAGTGAAGAAAAAAAATTGTTGGCCTACATAAAAGGTAACGGGTAGTGAGGGATGGGGTTGAAGACCAGATCACAGCTGAACCGAGTCACTAATCAAGGCACATTTAACTTATTTTACTTTTATCCTCTTCACCACTGATTGGCTCGTTAGCAACTTGGGTGATCGGTCACGTCTCTGTTACTTTCCCTTTTCTTTTATCCTCTTCACCACTGATCGGCTCGTTAGCCGCTTTGGCGATCGGTCACGTCTCTGTTACGCACTGTTGGCAAGTACTGGGCATGCACCAGCCCCTGAATGTACCTGAACCTGCTCCAGTGTTGGTCAAGTCTTGTCTAGAAAGAGCTCACACTCTGTGCCATCACAACACTTTCTGGTAGATTGTTCCAAGAGTTCACAACTCTCACTCCGAAAAAGTTTGCCCTCACAGTTTTCTGGACTTGCGGCTTCTTCAATCTTGAGCTGTGACCCCTTGTGAACTGATCTGCCAGCTCCAAGTAAGGACACTCGACTTAGTGCCCCCTGAGAGGTTTATACACCTCAATTAGGTCTCCCCTTGCCCGTCTGTAGTATAAGCTAGGCAGTTCAGGCGCTCCAATCACTCAGGGTAGCTGAGGTGCCGAAGTGCAGGCACCAGTCTGGTGGCCCTCCTTTAAACATTTTCAATCAACTGACAGTCCGTAGCATATCTCGGGGACCAGACAGGGTGACAGTACTCCAGATGGGGAAGCACTTCACTCTTGAAGATCGTTACGAGGGACGGAATGTCTAGATATCTTAACGACCTTCTTATAAGATCCAATAATTTATTTGCCTGATTTACCTTCTCCTCGCAATGGCCCGAGAACTTTAGCTCATTGTCAACATACACACCTAGGTCCTTCTCACATTCAGTCTCAAATAGTGCAGTTTCTTCATCCCGTTGGGACATATGATACGCCTCCTTACCGTTGGTATGCCCCAGGTGCATCCTCTTACACTTCGTGACATTGAATTTCAGCAGCCATTTCTTCAACCATTCTCGGAGCCCACAGAGGTCCTTCTGCAGCTCTTCACAGTCTGCTTGGTTCTTGCTTTCCTGAAATAACTTGGCGTCATCGGCAAACATTTGTATGTAGGAGTGTACAATGTCAGGCATGTCATTTATGAAACAAACAACAGCAGGCCCAGTACACTGCCCTGTGGTACCCCACTTGTGACAGGTACAGATGATGATTTCGTGCCATTAATCACCACACATTGCTTGCGGTCATGTAGAAGGTCATCTATCTACACTAGGACATTTCCCAGAATTCCGTACCCTTCCAGTTTGATTTTCAGCCTTAATAAATTATAATTTCTGTAAAACATTTTTTGTTCTATATCACAATTTTTGTGTTGAAATTTTTTATAATTTATCCCAGGGTTTCAATTGTTTTCTTATTTTGACAACACAACATACATATATCATTTCTCACTCAATATTTTTTTAATTATTTTTATTTTTTTATTTATGGTTCTATTATTATTACAGTATTTATAATTTTTATTATTATTAATTTATTATATCCCTCCCCCCCCCCCAGGCCTTGATGTGGGTCATTAAAAATTACCTGTGCCCGGGTGGGCAAATGACCATAAAAAAAAACTTTTTTTTTCTAAAAAAGCAGTTTTTGTGATATAGTCCAGAATGCAACATCTAGCTTTATACCTACGTATGTTAATGCCTAGCAATAACTCGCCAAGCCAACATATAGGCAATTAAAACAAATAATAATTACTTAATACATAATATTAGGAGGACACGTCGCTACCTGGCATTTAATTGCAGGTTATATCCCAAATATAGTGGTCATAATTTACAAAATGAGTACTATGGGCGAATTTCCGCAACCTGAGTTTCTGTAACGTAAGAGATACCTGTAAAATAACTATGTAACTTGAACCAGGTCTTAAACTAACCAGGGTTTTAAATATGAATCATCGTAATTCAAGGCTTTCCTTTACCCTGAAATTTATTTTATTTTTTTGAGCACTCCAAGAAAAATCTCTCCGTTCTGGGCATTCAAACAAATTTCCGAAAAATTGCATCGTGCATCGGCATGTGCCGAGCATATGGGTGGGTAGACTCAAAATGTTCGTGAGCTATGATTGGCTACTACTCTGTACCTGTACTGTCATATGACTGCATGGGATGCCTAAAATTGGCTGATGTATCTTGCAGTCTATCTCCTCAAACTCTAGCATCATGAGAGTAGTAGCTTGTTTGCTCACAAACTGTGTTGTGCAGTACTGTACCAGCATATAATCAGCCAAGACTACCATTTAAATAGTGTTAATTAAGATGTAAAAAGTAATTATATTCATGCACACTGTAAAGTACAGTACTGTACATTCAGAAAGTGAAAGTACCATATGTACAGTAGTACATATAGCAGAGTGGTCAGTGTATGCTAGTATGTAGAGAGTGTATGTACAGTACAGCAAACAGTGTGTACAATCCCTCCTTCATGTAGGGAAAGGAGAATGACATTTAGCAACACCTGCTACAGGCAGGTCATCCTATATGATCATTTCACCATTTGGCTTGCTTAAGACAACGAAATCTGCTATTAAATGCCAGGTAGCGACGTGTCCTCCTAATATTACGTATTTAAGTAATTATTAGATGTTTTAATTGCCTGTATGTTGGCCTGGTGAGTTAATGCTAGGCATTTACATACTTAGGTTTTTAGAAAAAAAATTGCTTTATTTTGCAGGGTCAGGTGTGTGTGTGAGTAGTAATACGCAGTCAGATGCGCTAGTGCCAGTTCATAATGTAAATAATGTTAGTGTGAAGCAATAAAACTGTATCTCTAATCACTGTTATGAATAAATTAGACATACATAAGTTAAAAAAGTGATAAAATTAGGTGAGTGGAACAGTGAAGATATAAATCCACGAGTAGAAAACATGACGATGTAGCAACATGGTAATTTATGCCACACAGCCACAAACCCTATGCTTCATACTTCCCATCCTGCAAACTCCAAAATGGTGAGTACAGCCAAAATTAGTGTTGTTCTAAAGTTTCATATACCAAATTGCATCTTTTAAGTCCTCCCCCAAATTTTTAGACGACCAGGGGTGACATTTAACATTCCAGAACCCGACCGAGTATGGATCAAGTGTTAATGTGTGTATCATTACCGGGTAAGTGTTTTGGAATGCTTACTATAAAATGTGTGATATCTCTGTAGGTATTTTGTAGCAAAAAACATATGATACTGAAATCTTAGTGCTTCAGTGTTATGTTCATACCATTGAGTGTTTTGGATTGATTACAGTCCAGTTAGTAACCAGAAAAGGGTTCAGGTTCCAACAAAACTAAAGCCATAACACATGATTGGTTGGTACCATTTTTCTTAAAATAATGCATTACAATGATATTACTGTACAGGTGCTCCTCTACTTAAGAACATTCAACTTACAAACTTTCAGAGATACAAACACCATCACTGAGGGGGGGTTACCTGCCAGAACAGGTGTTTAATGTGGATGAGACTGGACTATTTTGAAGAAAATTCCAGATAGAACAAACATTACCTAAGAGGAGAAGAGTGAGCCAGATTTTAAAGCTGTATTAAAGGGTATAGCTGTACTATATATCCATAATATTTTCATTTTTTACAATATATTTGGTATCTACAAGAGCAAAGATGGACTTACAAGCAAGCCTCAGGAACGTAACGCGTTCGTAAGTAGAGGAGTACCTGTAGTATGTAACAGTAAGTGAGGTAGTAAATCTGATGACAAGATAGCCACAATTATTTAGGCTGCTTGTACAGATGGGGCTTGGGGGCTTGTGTAACTTCCAACTTCTATTTATTTTTTCTGGAAGTAGGATGACTCCAGAAGGCTGCACCTTAATTGTTTGAGCCGTGTTAATCACCCTGTTTGAATATAGGGCACACATATGCCATTTTCCTTTGTCTATTAGCATACCTGTCATCTTGGTAAGATTTATCCTTCTCCTTTCATGATCTTGCTACCTTTTCCCTCCTTATTCAGTTCCTTCTTCATCCTTCTACCACTTGTTATCTTGTCATCCTTCCTTATCTATTTCTGCTTGTACCTGGTCTCTCTTCCTTCATTATTTATCAAGCTCTTCCCTCTCTGTTATGTGGTTCTCTTTTGATAACTAATCTTTCATTTCCCATTCTGTCTTCACCATCCTCATAGTCCAATTCTTACCAAGACAGCCTTTTAGTTTACCTGACTCTACTCTTCATCCTTTCCTGAATACTCCCTTCCACTTAATCTGGTTTATCTCTCTCTCTCTCTCTCTCTCTCTCTGATTTATTACTTACTTCCCTTCCTTCCTTCCTTCAATCCCTGTACTAAAGTTATTAGCCTGGCATTTGATATCTGTTTCTGCATATTGTTACCTGGTCACCCTCCTTCTTGAGCTGGGGGGAGTCGTTATCGTAAGGAAGCGATTCGTTGTCTTCGAGGTCAGTGTCGAGGGGGTAGTACTGCCCCTGCACATTTGGCGTGGGCAGCCGCTCGATCACCACTGGCAACTCCACGAAGTTGGGTCTGATACATTCCTGGATGATATCTTCCACCTCCTTTTCCATTACCTGTTGGTGTAAATGCATATGGAGTATACAGTGAGTATGCTGTCAGTACAAAATTATTACACAACCTATGATAAATGAGATTAAATTTTATATAATTTACAGTACTGTACTTTACTGAAGCAGCAATGTACATAAATGACTAGAGAGCATGTCAGTGAGTGATATTTGGGGAAGCATATGCTGCTGCTGGTGGGTGATGCTAGATTTTTAGTGACGGGTAAACCAGATAGAAATTTGGGACTTGATGGTTGAAGGGAAGTACCATAATAGAACACATCTGATACTGTAATAAGAATTCATGAATGACATCCAATTTCTGAGAGAACCTGTGTGTGTGTCTGATCTTGATTCTGGTTTCAGGCATTACATTGAGAAAAGGCTTGAATGAACATATATTGCTATAGTAGCTATATCATCTGCTGTGGTAGGCATACAGGGGCAGTACAGTATTGTCAATATGTGTTTGCTGTAGTAGGCATACAGGGGCAGTATTGTCATCATGTGACAGCTGTAGTAGGCATGCAGGAGCAGTATTGTCATCATGTGACAGCTGTAGTAGGCATGCAGGAGCAGTATTGTCATCATGTGTCTGCCCTTGGTAGGCACTGAGTAATATTGCACTAAAACAAATGTAAGTTTATTTTTACCTCCACCTTTTTGGATAGTTAGATTGGCCACCTTTGTCTTTACCCAATGACAAATGGTGTCAAAGAAGTCAAGAACATGTCACAACAAGGCAAAAATTACCCACATGAGCTGTTCAAATGGACTTGAGACTGGCAAATGGTCTTTAACATTACAAAATGCAAGTCCCTTCACACTTTCCTGGATTCTGTCAATAAGGAGAAAGATCTTGGTGTTGTGATAAGTCATTCAATGAAGGTGGCACAACAAGTAACTCCAGCAGTGAGAAAAGCAAATTGAGATTTGGGAATTATAAATGTACCTTTGAATATACAGGTAATGATAGAAAAATTCTCCTTGAACTATACAACTCTCAAGTATGTCCCAGTCTGGATTACTGCGTACAAGCATGGAAACCCTACCTCCAGAAAGATATAACATCCCTAGAAAAGGTCCAGCACAAGCAATCAAGATGATTCCAGAACTACTGTATATCATCTCGATTATCCAAGTTCAGTAGACCTTTCAGACAAGGCACAATATGGAAGATTTCATTAAAATATACAATATCCTGAAAGGAGATAATTACAAACTCGTCAAACTATCTTGCAGAACAAATATCAGGAAATACTTCTTCACACAGATGGTGAGACCTGGAATGGTCTACCAGCCCAAGCTGTAGAATCATGAACAGAACTGGGCTTCAAATAACCCTCTACAAAATTAACATGAACACTGGAGGGATCCTACACAGGCCACTGGCCTCCTTCCCTTGTCATAGCTACTTCTTGTGGGTGGTCATTAGGTAAATAAGTAAGCGATTTTTCCAATTTAGCATAATATATTTGTTTTAGTTTCATTGTGTATTTTTAAAATTGTTGTTATTATAACTGCATTTAACTTCACTACACTTTTCAACTAGTCTCCAGTCATGATTTGAATTTGTCTTTTGATTTAATAGTTTAATTTTTTTAATATTATAACAGTCATGTGTCTTGTTTTATCTTATCATTGTTGATTCTTTTCTATAGATTGCACTGATGATGGCTACTGTGATAATTGAAAGTTAATTAATAAAGAAGAATAAGTGTCAAGATGTTCATTGTGGTGCTTGTCCAGTCTTTGAACCTTACAAACTAGGCACTTGTTTGTTTGTAATATTACCATACAAATAATTACATTATAAACATAATATGGTACTAGATATAAAAGTAGTAACCTTAAACAGGAAGTCAATCCTGTCGATGGGTATGGCATGTTTCCTGGCATAGTTCTGACGTATGCCCGTGAGGAAGGAGTAGGGGAAGAACAGCCCAGAAAACCAGAATACGTCGGGGATTTTCTCGTCCGCCCACCGCTGGAAGAACTTTAGCCTGAAGGAATGCATAATAAGGTAGTAAGACAAACAAGCACAGCATAGGCCTCTTGAGTGAGTTCTTTATCATATTATTATATCAGTCTACTCAAAATTTATGCTTAGTAGACCTGAATCCCATATAATGCCAACTATATGAAACATTATTCTAACACTTTTATGAGCTTCACATATACTTTGTCAAGCATCTTTAAGTTAGCTTGAAAAGTATACAGTGGTCCCTCGGTTAACGAGCGCCTCGGTTAACGAGATTTCGGTTAACGAGTTACCTTCCATAAGATTCTTAACTTCGGTTAACGAGCAATCCCTCGATTAACGAGTATCTTACGAGCCGACCTCCACATGTTTTAGCTTGCATTTGGCGGTCCACCAGCTGTAGTATTAGTCCGCCAATACAGTAATCGGTTCTAGGGCTCAAATTCCTTACCCTTTTAGTAAATATCAAGAAGTTTATACTATTAAATAATTTTAAAAGTTTAATATTAATTTTTTTTAGTTATATAAACAATTATTGAACATAATTGAAGGTAGGGTCACTAGTTTGTGGCACGCCATCCAGCCTGCCAACACAGCATACAGGCGTCAATCTGTGTCTTTTCAGTGGAGGTAACATCTTGCTTGAGAGACTCTTCAACTAAACGCTTTTTTTCTGTGTTTACAGGCAAATTGTTGGTCATTTTGAAATTTATTTTACATATTGACAATATATGATGCAGTGCAGTGTTGATTTAAAGAAAATAATCTTGAATTACACCAAGAGAACTAAAATTTTATGGGTGAAATGGCGCCATGGGGTGACTTCTCTTCCACCCCAATGCCTTCTCTTCTTCCTTCTCCACCCCCATTCTAATTCCCATCATCATCATCATCATCATCCACGAGCCTTCTACATACACACCTCAAAGTAAGTGTACTTTTCTACCTTTTTTGTTGAATTTAGGTAATTTTCGGTGAGCTGGAACCAATTACCCAAAAACCCATTGAAACAATGGTTTCGGTTAACGAGCAACCTTCTAGAACGGATTGTGCTCGTGAACCGAGGGACCACTGTACAGTAATACCCTAGTTTACGCAGTTCTCGTTTACGCGTTTCCACATTTACGTGGTACCCCGCCAGAACCGGAATGCGGCGCGGGCAGGGTGCGCACAAGGTCGCCCAGTCATCAAAACATTACTGAGTTCTTCACCCGCCACCCACCACAGCCGGCCCAAGTCAGTGATAGTGAGGATATGGACTTTGAGGGGTTTGACAAAGAGGCCCTGCAAGCCTCTGTGGTGGATAGTGATATAATTGATGCAAGTGATACAGGTGAGGGCCAATAATCTGCCCTCTGCCTCGGAACCAACCCCCCATCCCCGTGTGCCCAGCCATCTTTTCTACTAATGTAAGTGTTAAAAACCTAATATTATTGATATTTCTCTTAATTGTGTGCATACCATCATAAAATTAAGATGTTATTTTTACTACAACGTAGGTATTGTGTCTGAAAAAGTGTAGTTTGGGAGTCGGCCCGGTCTCTATTTCAATTAATCCCATATGTTCTGTTGTTCACTTTACGCGTTTCTCGTTTTACGTGCTCCTCCGCTGGTTCAATTGACCGCGTAAATCGGGGTATTACTGTATTTAAAAGTATCTACAATTTATGTCAGTAAATTGTACCTGTAGTCTGATACTGTACAAGTATCCCTCATTTAAAAGTGTGTGTGTGTGTGTGCACACAGGGTGGTGTAATGCATCTAGTGTGACAGCATTATATTAGTGTTAAGGTGCAAGCACTGTTTGCTACCTCTCGCTTTCAGCTGCCGCCGCTGGCTACCTCTGATGACGAACAAAGAAGCAACCTTCTGTAAGTCTTCCCCTACCAGTACACAGCCTCTTCACCATCAAAACTCCTGCTGTGCCTCCTCGTGGCAACACATGATAACTAGGTGCCTCGTGGGGCCAGGCTAGACCAGCAGGGGATCTCGGAGCAGCAGTGGGCCCCAGAGGGACAGCACATAGACCGACAGGCATGTGGACATGTCCTGGTGCCTACTAACCACTGCCTTGCAGATTAACCTTGGTAGGTATAAGACTACGGGTGTAAACCCTAAGCGAAAAATCTGAAGCGGAGACATGCTTACAGAACTCCAGTAAGACCCCAATGGCAGTGTAGGTGGAAGAGATAACCAACAAGGGAACCCAACGACTACACCAGCAGATGAAGGCAATGCAAAATGGACAGGCTAATAAGGCAAAACCCAACAAACTGGGCTATTGGCAGTCCATTGCAACTCTCCTCCCCATTCGTTGCAACTACCTGCACCACTGGACCAGGACAAGGGAGAGCCATGGTGTGTGGTTGCAGTCTGTGCTCTTGCCTCACCACATAAATCAACTCATGCACAGCCATCACTTACTACTACTCATCATACTCGATTCTGAGAGACAGCAAAGTAGGTGGGGTTGCATTCCTGAAAAATCTAACATTAAAAAAAAATTATTACTAAATGAGGATAACATCGAAGCATGGAGGACAAGCAACAGGTTTAAATGTCATGGCAGTAAACAGCGAGGACTGAACTCCCTAATAATAATAAATGAGTTCATTACGAATAGTTTCAAAGTTAAACGACGGATTTATTAACACAAAAATTCAAATTGCATACATGTACTGTACTACAACATCTTTTAAGATAAACAATAAAGTTGATAAATAGCATATTATAAAACAAAAGCACATATTTTATGTAAAAAAAAACCCAGCTCCTTCCACACTCAAACCAGCTGAGCACTCACTCAGTTGACTTAGAGATGTGTGCGTGCCTGCTGCACTGTGTGTATGCTGTGACATCACTGCCACACATACAAACCCATGCTCTTCATTTTTCTTATTACATAATTTTATATGATATTTTCTTTATTTCTAAGCCACACTAGAGTATTGTAATGATTTTTTCACAACTAATATAGTTTCGATTACATGTAACAATGGAAACATGATATCTCACAGGCCACCTCATCTCCAGCTTTTCCCACTTTCACAGCAAGTTGAGCTAAACCGAATTTTGATTGTCCTCAACTACCATGAGAGAATGGAGCGCCTGAACTTGCCTAGCTTATACAGGTTATACCTCTCTAGTCTGGCAACCTCGGGATCTGACTGGTGCTGGACCATGGAAATTCACCCTTTTCCTGCATAGATAGTGACTTGTGCTTATGCTTGGAAGCACTAGTACCACTTTCTCTGCATCATGGTCTCTTTGAAGACATATTGAAGGGTTAAATATCATATAGTAGCTTCTCAAATTTCGCGAGTTTTTAATTCTTAACGTATTTTATTGGAACACACAAAAAAATAAATAAATAAAAATTTTGACGGCGGAAACTTGAATTTCGACGGGTTTGAACGGCCCGCCAACGTGCAGACGACGTGCATAATCGTGTAAACAGCGTCATTCCTCTTATGTACAAAAGATTCATTATTGTTCATGACTGAATGTCTTTTTTATTGAATTAATGTTACGTGTGCAAATTGAGCAATACAATTCATTAATAATATGTAGAATATTAAAACACATGAGGAAATGACACAGCATTGTTT